ACCTGGCTGGAGAACATAGCGAGAGAACTTGGCTACAGAATCTGGCGGGAGAACCTTGCTATGCTGATCAACTGACGTAGCCTCCATGTCATTCCTTCTTCACCGACTCCGTCCACACCTTGGGGAACCCCTGGACCCGCTGGGGTTGGACCCCAACACCTTTTGTCTAAGAAAAGACACTTAACTGAAAAACTAGGAGAGAACTGGGACTGAGTTCATTCTCTCCCTTAACTGAATCAATGCCTCATATTTATATGCCCAGTTATAATGGAGAGCGTGCATCCTTCTACATAATCTCATTTAAATCTTACAATACTAGGAATAGGTGGTAGTATCTGCATTTTCCTAATGAGAAAATGGAAACTCTGAGAGGCCAAGCGACTTGCCCAAGGCCACATGGCGACTAGATCCCAGATAGGTATTTGAACAAGTCTTACTCCCAAGTTTTGTGCCTTCCATTACACCTTCCTGGCTGTACTGTGTTTGAGTAGACAGGTCACTCTCTAGGCCTGTTTCCTCATTTATAACATGAGATTAAGCTGAGATTCTTAAAGCTCTGACATTCCATCACCTTATAGCATGTTTCCACCACCTGCCTCTTAAATCAGGTCGAAACTGGTCCAGAGAGAGTGAAGTATGAGGCTTATAGAACCCTGGCCATCCTGGGTAAGTATATCCTCTCCCTGGCTGGGGAGTTGGGAGAGGTGAGATAGGAGGTAGCGCAGCCACTCTCCCCTCTGGGTGAAGACAGAAGGGTAGTGCAGTATATGCCTGCACAACCTAGCACTGGGCAGTGTCTGGGAACTCTCCCAGGTACTGTTGGGCAGAGAGAGAGAGAGGGAGGTGAAGTGAAAAGGGAGATTGGAATTAAGGTCGCGCTCAGCCAGCTGCTCTGGTGTCCTGGGAAGATGAGCAACATCTTGGGACCTAGTACTTGGAACTTATGTCTTGAGGGCACAGTGGAGTCCAATGGATCCTGGCAGAGAGGAGCAGCCCAAGGCTCTGCCCTGACCTCAGGACCCTCCCTGTCTAGGTTGCCTGAATAAGGATGTGATCCAGGCTCTCATCAAGCAGTTGAAGGAGCCAAATGAGGAGCAAAGGATGGATACTCTGAGGGGACTACGAGTAGCTCTAAATTCCTGGGCTGCTATCCCCAAAGACAAGGTGATGGGGAGATCAGTAATTGGGGCAAGGTAGGGCAAGGTAATTGATGGTGTTGGCTGGGGGTTAGGTCAGGGAGAAGGTAACCTAGCTCCTGATTTTGATGGGAAGGCATTGTCCTGTGGAGTTTCCTGAATGGAAGCACTGGCGTAGCAATTTACCACTCACAACCTACTTTTGCCCCCCTGTGTACAGCAAGAACAGACCACTTTCCAAGTTTTGCTAGAAAGGGTTGTAGTTGGCACCAGGGGTGGATTCTAGAAAAAGAAAAATAACATGTTTCTAGTCTGAGGGATAATAATTCAGTAGTTAGAAAACTGGTCATTTTGAAGATAGTGGGAAGAGTTGTGCAGCAATGTTCTCAAGTAGGTGAGAAGAAATGAGCTCTAACAGTCTACAGTACGAGTGGAAAGGAAGAACATATGGGTGCAGGTTGAAAGTTGGATAAAAGTGGTGGTATCTCTGGAACTTGTACTTGCTCAGTAAAGTAGGAAACAAGCTGAGTGGGAATGGAGGAAGAAAGTGCTAGAGGTACCAGAGGAAAGGGTGTGATGTAGAGGGTGGAAAAGAGAATTGCCTGGAGAAAAGCAGTATGATCAGTAGGCAGCATTAGGGATCTACATGAAATTTGTGTTCATCCATCTAAAGCAAGATCAATCATTGTGACTGTGTTTTTCTCCAGGAAGTACAGGCACAGAGCAAGTAGAGAGTTGAATACAATGAACCAAGATAAGGTAAAGGAGTTGAGGCAGGAAGTAATTATAGCAGGACCATGGAATTTAAGCTGGGTAAAGAGGGATGAAGGTGAGGAGCAGTGAAATGGTGCTTAGTGATGATTAGTCCTTGTGGAGTCCAACAATTGTTAACATCAAGAGGTGAGCTGGAAAGATAGGAAGTGATGGTCAGAGTGGGATCCGTGAAATGGAGAAATTGTAGTTAATAAGTAATGATAAAATCTCTGTGGGAATTAGTAGCTGACATAGTGTGGAGTACAAGGTTATTGGAGGGGAGGAGCTGGATCAATGAAATGTACATATTTTTAAATGCTGGGAATTAGACAGCAGAAGTATTAAGAGAGTAACATTGATTCATTCAGAAGATAAAGTCATAGAGAAATGAGAGGATATGACCTAGGAGCAAGTAGATGACAACAAAAACAAGAAGTGGATAAAATAATCTGATAACATGAGATTCATTTTAGGGAGAATGGTCTGGAAGCAGCAAAGAATTGCCCTCTTAACAAAGCCTGGCTGAGAACATAGTCCCCTCCTGTCTTCCTCTCAGAGGACTCAAATCGGGGATGAAGGGATGCTGGCATCTGTGCTGCAGATGCTGATACAGAAGTCAAAGAATGAAGCAGCCATGGAGGCAGCCCTGTGTTTGGGTTTCCTGAGACCCTGCAACAACACAGCCCGAGACTTCTTGCTGCAGTGCCTATGCCACGGGCTTATGTCCCAGAGGATGAAGGTGTGCAGGGCAGGAGGCTGGATCCCTGGGAAGGACGGGGGAAAGAGAGGCTAGTGCTGACTTCCATGGGGGTCTGGACCCTGTCATCCTCATCCCAGGGCAAGGTAGCTTCAGCAGGGAGTACTGCAGGTCCTGTGTGTGAATGTGTGTATGCACGGGTAAGGGGTCATGTGGACCTACATATACATGTGTCTGTGCACATTTGATATGTATTCATTTATGTATGTGCACACTCAAGAGGCAGGACCCCACCTAGTCCCCACAAGTTCTAGACTCAGCCGTCAAGTCGGCCTGGCCATCCAGATGCTTCTTGGACCCCACCCACCCTGCCTGCCCCCATAGATACTTAGGATGCTGGTCAAGATGATGCGTGTACACTCAGCCGAGGTCATCAGGGCCGTCCTAGACCAGCTGTGCTATTCTTGTGTCCTTGAGGTGAGTCTTGGGCTGCCTAATACCCTTCTTTCTCCAGCACTAAGACAGAGTTGGGGGATGGATGAGAGGGAGTCTATCCTTCATGGCTCCCCACCCCTGCCCTCAGCACCGCTTTGAGGCGACCCAGATGCTCAAGACCATTGGGCTGGAACAGATCCAGGCACAGGGACTGGAGGGACTCACATTTGACCTACTCAGGAGGAAGATATTTAATGAACCCTTCCTCGTAAGTGAGACCAAAGCTCCAAAGCCCAGGCAGCCCAAAGCTGTCTCTCTCCCTTCTCAGACCTCCCCTGTCTTGGTTCCCACCACACTGTCCCCTAAAGAATCACATTCACTCTAACCTACTCCGTTTCCCTAATGCAGCCTGTTTTCAAGCCACCTTGCCTTTGCTCAGACAAAATGCCCCTGTCATCCCTCTCCCCTCTGCAAGGTCACACTGGTAAGTAACTCTTGTCTCCTTCTGCCTACTCAAATATGACAGCTCCTTCAAGACCAGGCTAAGCACCACCTCCTATGGGAAGTTTTCCCAAATCACCACAAAGAGCATCAGCTCTGCCCTCTTATGTCCCATTGCTTTTACCTTTATAACAGCTTACTACAAAACTAGTCACACAACTTTTATCTAAAGACATTTTCCTAAAATGTAAATCAGGTTGTGCATAAAACTTTTCAATAGCTTCCCACTGCCCTCAGAATGGTTTACCCTGTCCTTCACCGCCCAGCCTGCTTACGCCTCCAGCATCATCTCAACCACTCAACCCCTCAGAACCACACACCAACTATGCTTAGGATGACCCTATCCTGATTTATACCTGTGATCCCAGTCTAACTCCTCAGAGTGCCCCATGTTGAAGAGTCCCAGTGTGGTCACCTTGATAAACTGAACTATTTTCTGTTCTCTAAACACACTATGCTCTCCCTCTCTTGCCTCCAGGCTTTTATACATGTCCTCCCCGCATCCACACCTAGAAAATCACCCTCCCCCAACCCATTGCCTGGTTAACTCCCATTCACCCTTCAGGTTTCAGTTGAGGCATCACCTCCTCCAGGAAATCTTCCTGGTGCCCAGACTAAGTTAGGAGACCTTCCTATGTGCACCCTACCCTTAGTTCAGTTGTAACATTTACACAGTAATGTAATTGCCTACTCACCAGTCTGCTTCCCCCACCAGACCTTCCCTCAAGGAAGGTATATGCAAGAAACTAAGCATTCAACAAAGGTTTGTGAAGCACTTAAGGGTACACCCCTGCTTCCTTCTCTCTCTTGTCCCATCTTAATCCCTCTTCAGGCTATGAGGCAGGTTGTGGCTGAAATTGTGGACGAGTTCAAGATGAAGCCCATGATGATGAACTTGGTGGAGGGGTGAGTGGCTTAGACTGGGAGCTGGCAGGGCCAAATCCTAGGTGGTGGGAATGGGGCAGAGGAGCAGAGAGAGCTAAGAACTTGCCAGTTCTCAGCTGTCACTTGCCTTTGCCCCTGGCCAAGTCACTTTTTGACCCCTGGACTTTCCTTCTACTGTACAAAGAGGTTGATTATACCTACCACTCAGGCTTGCTATAAAGCTCAAATTAAGACGAGGACATGAATGGGACTTGTAAAAGGTAAAGTTCTGAACAGATATATTTGTCAGCACCTCCTCAGTATCTCCTTTTCCCCTCCTGGCCCCTTCTGACCTAAGAAACAAGAGGGAAAAAATTTATGAAATCAGCATCACTCATCATGATGCCTTATGCCCAACTCACTCTGGGCTATACCAAGAAACAATCAGCCTTCCTCCCCCTCCCCCTTAACTGAACCACAACACACTTACTCCCTTCTACACAGGCAACTAATGAACCCACAAGCTGCTTCACGCCGGGAAGCAGTCATCTCTTTGGTAAGGCCAGTTTTGCTTCTTTGATCAGATGTGTTGATGGCAAGGGCAATAGGCAACTGAGCAGCTACTGAAAGGGAAAAAAAGGCTGTGAAGTTTGGGGTTGTTTGCTTGTTTATTTTACAACTAGGGGCCCAGTGCATGAATTTGTGCACCTTGAAAGGAACTGTGGCTGTGAGGCTGAGGTGGGCATAAGGGCAGGTCTCGGCCAATCCTCCACGCTCCTGCCTGGCCCCGCCTGCAGCCCCACTCCCACCGCCGTGGTTCCCACGCGCTGACAGGACCAGCCCTGCTTGGACCCACTCACAGCGTGGAGCAACTGGGGCCGGTGCCAGCAGCAGCTGTGAGCAGTGGCTGCTGCCCCAATCACCCTTCAGGAGCAGGGGGAGGTGGAGAAGCCCTCAGGGGCGATAGGGGCAGGCAGCCGCTGCTCACACCTCTGATGGCCCCAAGCCATCAAGACTGGCGCCAGCAGCAGGTGCAAGCACGGGGTGGGACCACAGAGCGCGGGGAGCAAAGAATTTTCAGTAACCACCAGAGGCTCACCCCAATGATAGCAACCAGCACCCTGCCTAGGTCTGACGCCCCCACTCACCTGGTCCACTATCCCACCACTGCCGACGCCCGCCATGTTCCAAGCTCTGCCTCCTGCTGCCCCTGGTGGTCAGCACACGTCATAGCGACTAATTGTTGACTGTTGGTTGTTCCGCTGTTCAGTCTATTTGCATATTAGGGTTCTATATATATAGATTCCAGTCCTACCAGGAGTTCAGAGTAACCTTTTCTTCAGGATTAGAGAACAGTGGGTTAAGGGGTAAGGGACAGGAGATGGGTGTTAAGAGGCATTTCTTACACATTAGAGAAACTGTCTGAACTCTTCCTGGCGAATGTGCAATGGAACCTAATGTAGTGGCCCCAAAAGGCAAGGAAAGGGATACCTTAGCTGGAAAGCCATCATCTCCCACTCTCCAGGCCACAGGGCCATCACAAGGGGATTAGAATTGACAAGGGTATCTTCCTGGACTGATTACTTAGGTGCTCTCCTTCTGCCTCTACCAGGGTGTCCTGGGGATCCGCAGCCCACAAGTGTTCCACTTGCTCCTGGACATGCTAGACACAGAAAAAAGCCAGTCTATAAAGAAGAGTGTAAGGCATTCCTACCTTCCTCTTCCTCTTCTAACCCCTCCTCCAAGCCCTTCCCATCTAGCCTCACTACTTGCTTTGTCAGGAGGGAGGAGAGGAGAGTAAGTCCTCACACAGTCCCTTGACCTCATTCCTTGGGGCCATAGTGCCCTGTGGGTAGAGCTCCCCCTCCCATGGGTAACCCCTTCCACTCCCAGCCTTAGCCTGAAGCCAGCCAGCCACAGAGCCTTTATTTCAATGCAGCTACAAGAAACACTCACTATTTTGGCCTCAATTGATCCCTGGATCAAAAACAAGCTGAAAAACAAGGTTTTCTTTGTATCTGAGTCACCTCTGACCAAGGAGAAGGAAGAGCCTACAAGGTTCAGAGAAGAGAATGAGAACCTAGAAGAGTTAAATATCCAAGACTTTCGACTTGCACAGCTGAGCCCCTTGTTTGTTGCAAAGGCCAGTGCCTCATCAGACCAACAGGAAAAGTTGAGGGCCCAGAAAAGGTCTCCCTGTTACCTCACCTCTGCCTTCCCTCCCTGTTTCCCTAAACCACTAAACCACAAGTCACAGGCCACAGGGCCTTGGACACCAGAAATCAGGAAACAGCTTCAGATCCTTTCCAAAACCTCCAAATAGGTCAGTTCTTTGGGCCTAGCCCTCACTTCCTGAGGATGCTTCTCAGGCTCCCCTGAGAAAATGTCTATACTTACCCTCGATGAATAAATGAATGTCACTTCTACCTATGTTGTTCCTTTCATCAGAGGCTTCACTGAAACACAGGTCTCCTCACTCTGGGTTGAAGGGACATGGAGGACAGAACCAAAGCTATTCTGGATGACCGGCCTGCCTCCCTAAACCAAGCCCTTGTCTATAACCAGAACTTAATAACAAAGCTAGAGAACTGAGCTTCTGGCCCCAGTGGGGGGCGGGGGGAAGGACTGCTGAAGGAAAAATAGGAGAAAATCCTGTAAGCATGAGTCTTGGACCATTTCCTTTTTTTTTTTTTTTAAATATATTTTATTGATTTTTTACAGAGAGGAAGGGAGAGGGATAGAGAGTTAGAAACATCGATGAGAGAGAAACATCGATCAACTGCCTCCTGCACTCACCCTACCGGGGATGTGCCCGCAACCAAGGTACATGCCCTTGACTGGAATCGAACCTGGGACCTTTCAGTCTGCAGGCCAACGCTCTATCCACTGAGCCAAACCAGTCAGGGCGGACCATTTCCTCTAACTTGCCCACCCCCCCATCATTCTCTCAGTGGAAATAATTAGGCTGTAGTCAAGACCAACCACACACTCTCTGCTCTCTCTTCTCTTATGTCTACTTTCTACCTACCTCGGGGCCATTTCTTTGACAGGCCCTATTTATTCTCCCAAACTACTTTAGTTCTTGTTTACTGAAGGCTTCAGTTTCTCTTTGCCAGTAGGACCTGCCACACCAATCCCTACAAACTATGTCCATCTTCAAGGAAAAAAAAAAAAAGTCTATATTTTGGAATCAGATCATCTGAAATCCGGGGACCATTTACTTGATCACAGACTTCATCATTTTGGAGTGAAGCTCAAACATCCTTGTTTTAAAAAACTTGCTAATTCCAGTATACAGCTGGGATAAAGAACCATTATTATAAACTGCCTTATTTTAATCCTATCCACTTTCATCTTAATGACTCTCAAATCTGCATCTGTAATAGATTCATTTAGTCAATATTCACTAAGTCCCTAACCTGTGCCTCAGACTGTTCTAGGTGAATGTGCAATGGAACCTAGAACAGTGGACAACAGACAAGGTTTCCTACTCTCCTGGAGATCATATTCTAATCGAGAGAGAAGTTTATACCCACAAAAAGATAATTTCAAATACTGAGAAGTACTGTAAAGACTTAAGAGGTGCCGAACCAGTTTGGCTCAACGGATAGAGTGTCGGCCTGCGGACTGAAGGGTCCCAGGTTCGATTCCGGTCAAGGGCATGTACCTTGGTTGCGGGCACATCCCCACTGGGAAGCGTGCAGGAGGTAGCTGATCGACCTCTCTCATCGATGTTTCTCTCTATTCCTCTCCCTTCTCCTCTGTAAAAAAAATCATTTAAAAAAAAAGACTTGAGGTGATGTGAAAGTAACTAGGAGAGGCAGTATTTTATATAAAGATGTTTTTATTAATTTCAGAGGGAGAAAGGGATAGAAACACCAATGAAGAGATCGGCTGCCTCCTGCACGCCACACACTGGGGATCAAGCCCTCAACCTGGGCATGTGCCCTGACTGGGAATCAAACCATGACCTACCTCCTAGTTCATAGGTTGACACTCAACCACTAAGCCATGCCGGTCAGGCAGAGAGAGAGGCCGTTTTTTAGATAAAAGCCAAGAAAGACCTCAAAGGAAGGATTTACCCTAGTTGTAGTGAAAAGGAGTCAGCCATATGACTATCTGAGGAACGAGAATTCTAGACAAAATATATACAAAATACTGAAGCAGAATCATATCTGATACCATCAAGAATTATGACCGCCCTGACCGGTTTGGCTCAGTGGATAGAGCGTCGGACTGCGGACTGGGGGGTCCCGGGTTCGATTCCGGTCATGGGCATGTACCTTGGTTGTGGGCACATCCCCAGTAGTGGGTGTGCAGGAGGCAGCTGATCGATGTTTCTCTCTCATTGATGTTTCTAACTCTCTATCCCTCTCCCTTCCTCTCTGTAAAAAATCAACAAAATATATTTAAAAAAAAAAGAATTATGACCAATGTGCTCAAAGCAAGGTAAGTCTGGATGTTATATAATGAAGTTGGAGAGGTAGGCAGGCCAGATCCTATAGGGCTTTGTAAGCCAGGGTAAAGAATTTGTTGCCTACTTGCAACAGAAAGTCATTGAAAGGGTTTTAAAGAGGCATGACATATGGTCTGATTTACATCATAATATCACTTGGCTGCTGTATGAAAAACTGATTTTAGAGAGGCAAGACTGGGAGGACCTAATAATGGGCAATTGCAACTGTCCAGGCAAGAGATGACTGTAGCTCATACGATTGTAACCAAGACTATAAAGATGGTTTCGGGATATATTTTGGAGGTAGAATTAAAAGGAACTGCAGGTACAGAATGAATGAGAGAAAGCAAGTATAAGCTCTAAAGTTTTTTTTACCTGATCTGATCTAGGTGGACAGTGAGGGCATTTACTGAGATGGAAATGACTAGGAAGAGAGAAACTGACTTGGAGAGGGAGATCCAAAGTTTTGTTCAATCCTGGAGGAGTTGCCAAGAAAAATCAAATTTATTTAGTACATCCTAATAGAGATCAAATAGGCAGCTGAGTATAAACCAGAGTTAAGGGGAGAGGTCAGGACTGAAGACATAAATTTGGTAGTCATCACTGTATTAGGTGGTATTTAAAGCAATAACCTGAATGAGTATGCCCAGAATAAAAGTGAGTATAACTAAAAGAGAACGGAGATCAGAACATGCCAAGGAACTTCCAACCTGCAAAGACCAAGTAGAGAAGTTAGCAAAACCAAGTCAGTATGGAACAAAATCAGGGAAGTGTAGTTTTCTAAGCTTGCAGATTTACACATCCAGATGTCTACTGGATGTCTCTACTTGTAAATTTGAGTGCCCCAAGCTCAACATACCTAAAACGATTCATTTCCATCTTGTTCCCACATCTGTTCCTTATTCAGTGTTTCCTATTTCAATAAATACCTATCCCATTGCCAAGGCCAGTAACCTAACTCTTCCCTCCCAACTATTTCTGACATCTAGCCAAATCCTGTCAAATTTCCCTCATTATTTCTCAAATCTATTTAGTTATGTCCTCCTCATCCAGTCAATATCTGAGCTCAGACCAGTATTTCTCACTGGCTTACCATTGTCTCCTATTCAGCTTCTTCACTTTCAGCCATTATCATCTTTCAGTAGATACCACTCAGGTCAGGACACTCCCCTGGTTAAAATTTTTGACTCCCTATTTGGAGGCAGGGGGAAAACTGAAATGCAAGGACCTTATGATAAAGCTTGTTTACCTCTCCTGTCTTATCTTTTGCAAGCTTATCTTTAACTCCTCCCTCACAATGCACTACTTACCCTTCTCAAGCCAGTGTCTACTCCTCAATCTCTTTATTCCTCTAATTTATTTGTTGATGTCATTAATTTTCTGCTGGGAACACCATTTCCTCAACCCAGCCTCATTACTTGGCCAATTCCTACTCTTCCCTCAAGACTCACCAAACCTTCCTGATGCCATGAGTTAAGTGTCCTTCAAATCAGCCCTCAAAAGCACCTTGCATTTATTCTTATTGGAGCACTTATCTGTATATTGTGTTTGCTTGTTGAGCAACATAGCCAGTATCTGGTATAGTGTCTGTCCCAGGCTCTTGGTAAGGGTAAAAGAAATAGTTTTTAATGAATACCAAATAACATACCATGTACACTGGTATCTTAACCCTAACTTATTGAATCCTCACTCTTCTTACCTAGCCCTTAGACCTCCCTACTCCCAGCATCTAGAACACTGCCCTAAATAAATGGTTCTAAATTATAAACTGGAACTCTCAAAATCACCTGGTGAGCTTAACACAAAGGTTCCTTAACTCCTTCCCCACACCCCCACCAAGTTCTGATCCAACACACTTGAAATGAGGCTTAGGTAATCTAATTTTGACAACTCCTTCAGGTGATTCTGATGTGCAGCCATTCTTTAGAAACTACTATTCTAAACAGAGTAGAAGCTCAATCAATACTGTTGAAAGTAACATTTTAATTTAATGAAGTAGGCTCCATTTCCTCATTCTTCAGGGTTAGAGTCTGCTGTAACTGAATCCTGAGTGTGACAGAACAATGCACTAATATACAAAAATCCACAAAACAAGAAGCCTTTATTGCAGTATTATAAAACACTTTCCATTTTGGCAATATTTTACAACGCACTTAGCTTCAAGGGTTGGGAAGGGGAAAGTTGGAAACTAAAGGGGAAAATTCCAACAGACATTACTAAAGAAAAACTGTCCCAGCCCTACCACCCAAATAAAATTCTAAATGTCACTTAATTTCACTACCCAAGAAGAGGCCACCAGGAAAGCAGCAGGCAAAACTCTGGCAATTTCACTATGGATCATGTCAGAGACAAAGGAACATTCAAAACAGTCATCAGTATGGTCGGTTGCGCTGATCATTTCTGTAGTCGTTTCTAGGAATGAAAAATAAAGAACCAGATTAAATTCTAATTTTCTACCAAAGGGGCACATCAAATACCTCTTCAGGGTGCTGGTGACTGGTATCATCAGCTTGACAATTTCTGCAAGGATAACACCATGCCTGATTTCTCTACTCCTAGAGGGTGTGTAATAAATATCTTATCAGCTTTAAGATCCTAAAAGCACCTTTACTATCACCAACTTACTAAAATTTTCCACCTAGAATAAGGACTCCAAACCACTGTGGTATTTTCAGGAGGCCAGTGGAAACATCCTCTGGTAAGGATTAAAACAAACAAATTTTAAAAACCATATCTGTTTTAAAAAAGAATAAACTGTTTCACAACTGTAAATCTACCTTTTCCCACCCTGTATATACAGACACTTTTATAGGATTTGCCATACAGTAAGAAGTATTCAATAGATGATAATTACTAATAGCAAACAATTACACAGTACTTACTATGGGCCAGCAACTGTTACAACAGTTAATCTAAATCCATGAAGGAAGTATTATTAGCCCCACTGTACACATCAGAGTACTAATGCTCCACAGGGTTAAGTAACTTGCCTAAGGTCACATAGCTAGAAAGTAGTGGAGACAAGACTTGAACCCAAGCAGTCATAATGTCTCTAAAATTTGTGCTCTTAACCACATGCTATACTAAATCTCACTACCTATACTCCCTCTGGCATACAAATGCTTATAATAACTGAAGTCATTTAGTATCACTGGTCATTCCATTTTTTCTGCCTCTACACCATTCATTGTGCAGTATGCAACACACACCCAGCAGTGCCATCAGTGATTTTCATCTGGAAAAGGTATTACCAGAAATGCCAGAAAAACAACTGCAGGGTATATATAGCACACATGATTTGAAAAAGCACACCCCCACCACTGAGATTAAGAATTCCTGATTTACACAGTTTCAAAATACCACTCAATCTCAATTACTTTAACTATGGGAATGAATAATACATACATACACATACAGATATAAGGAATTATGAGTAAGAACTTCCAAAACAATGAAATTCAAGTTCCAAAACACTGGACAATAAAAAACCTTAAAACCTAGGAGCAGTGAGATAAAAACTATGTTCTAACACTCACCTTCCTCCCATTTTGCCTCCATAGCCACCTCGGTCTCCTCCATAGCTGCCACCACTCCGATCTCCTCCATAGCCTCCACTTCGGTCTCCACCATAGCCACCGCCACAACCACGGTCTCCTCCGTAGCCCCCCCCACTTCGGTCTCCACCATAGCCTCCTCGGTCCCCACCATAGCCTCCTCGCCTATTCAGCTTCTTCACTTTCAGCCATTATCATCTTTCAGTAGATACCACTCAGGTCAGGACACTCCCCTGGTTAAAATTTTTGACTCCCTATTTGGAGGCAGGGGGAAAACTGAAATGCAAGGACCTTATGATAAAGCTTGTTTACCTCTCCTGTCTTATCTTTTGCAAGCTTATCTTTAACTCCTCCCTCACAATGCACTACTTACCCTTCTCAAGCCAGTGTCTACTCCTCAATCTCTTTATTCCTCTAATTTATTTGTTGATGTCATTAATTTTCTGCTGGGAACACCATTTCCTCAACCCAGCCTCATTACTTGGCCAATTCCTACTCTTCCCTCAAGACTCACCAAACCTTCCTGATGCCATGAGTTAAGTGTCCTTCAAATCAGCCCTCAAAAGCACCTTGCATTTATTCTTATTGGAGCACTTATCTGTATATTGTGTTTGCTTGTTAAGCAACATAGCCAGTATCTGGTATAGTGTCTGTCCCAGGCTCTTGGTAAGGGTAAAAGAAATAGTTTTTAATGAATACCAAATAACATACCATGTACACTGGTATCTTAACCCTAACTTATTGAATCCTCACTCTTCTTACCTAGCCCTTAGACCTCCCTACTCCCAGCATCTAGAACACTGCCCTAAATAAATGGTTCTAAATTATAAACTGGAACTCTCAAAATCACCTGGTGAGCTTAACACAAAGGTTCCTTAACTCCTTCCCCACACCCCCACCAAGTTCTGATCCAACACACTTGAAATGAGGCTTAGGTAATCTAATTTTGACAACTCCTTCAGGTGATTCTGATGTGCAGCCATTCTTTAGAAACTACTATTCTAAACAGAGTAGAAGCTCAATCAATACTGTTGAAAGTAACATTTTAATTTAATGAAGTAGGCTCCATTTCCTCATTCTTCAGGGTTAGAGTCTGCTGTAACTGAATCCTGAGTGTGACAGAACAATGCACTAATATACAAAAATCCACAAAACAAGAAGCCTTTATTGCAGTATTATAAAACACTTTCCATTTTGGCAATATTTTACAACGCACTTAGCTTCAAGGGTTGGGAAGGGGAAAGTTGGAAACTAAAGGGGAAAATTCCAACAGACATTACTAAAGAAAAACTGTCCCAGCCCTACCACCCAAATAAAATTCTAAATGTCACTTAATTTCACTACCCAAGAAGAGGCCACCAGGAAAGCAGCAGGCAAAACTCTGGCAATTTCACTATGGATCATGTCAGAGACAAAGGAACATTCAAAACAGTCATCAGTATGGTCGGTTGCGCTGATCATTTCTGTAGTCGTTTCTAGGAATGAAAAATAAAGAACCAGATTAAATTCTAATTTTCTACCAAAGGGGCACATCAAATACCTCTTCAGGGTGCTGGTGACTGGTATCATCAGCTTGACAATTTCTGCAAGGATAACACCATGCCTGATTTCTCTACTCCTAGAGGGTGTGTAATAAATATCTTATCAGCTTTAAGATCCTAAAAGCACCTTTACTATCACCAACTTACTAAAATTTTCCACCTAGAATAAGGACTCCAAACCACTGTGGTATTTTCAGGAGGCCAGTGGAAACATCCTCTGGTAAGGATTAAAACAAACAAATTTTAAAAACCATATCTGTTTTAAAAAAGAATAAACTGTTTCACAACTGTAAATCTACCTTTTCCCACCCTGTATATACAGACACTTTTATAGGATTTGCCATACAGTAAGAAGTATTCAATAGATGATAATTACTAATAGCAAACAATTACACAGTACTTACTATGGGCCAGCAACTGTTACAACAGTTAATCTAAATCCATGAAGGAAGTATTATTAGCCCCACTGTACACATCAGAGTACTAATGCTCCACAGGGTTAAGTAACTTGCCTAAGGTCACATAGCTAGAAAGTAGTGGAGACAAGACTTGAACCCAAGCAGTCATAATGTCTCTAAAATTTGTGCTCTTAACCACATGCTATACTAAATCTCACTACCTATACTCCCTCTGGCATACAAATGCTTATAATAACTGAAGTCATTTAGTATCACTGGTCATTCCATTTTTTCTGCCTCTACACCATTCATTGTGCAGTATGCAACACACACCCAGCAGTGCCATCAGTGATTTTCATCTGGAAAAGGTATTACCAGAAATGCCAGAAAAACAACTGCAGGGTATATATAGCACACATGATTTGAAAAAGCACACCCCCACCACTGAGATTAAGAATTCCTGATTTACACAGTTTCAAAATACCACTCAATCTCAATTACTTTAACTATGGGAATGAATAATACATACATACACATACAGATATAAGGAATTATGAGTAAGAACTTCCAAAACAATGAAATTCAAGTTCCAAAACACTGGACAATAAACCTCCTTAAAACCTAGGAGCAGTGAGATAAAAACTATGTTCTAACACTCACCTTCCTCCCATTTTGCCTCCATAGCCACCTCGTCCTCCATAGTAGCTGCCACCACTCCGATCTCCTCCATAGCCTCCACTTCGGTCTCCACCATAGCCACCGCCACAACCACGGTCTCCTCCGTAGCCCCCCCCACTTCGGTCTCCACCATAGCCTCCTCGGTCCCCACCATAGCCTCCTCGGTCCCCACCGTAGCCTCCACGGTCACCACCGTAGCCGCCTCGGTCCCCACCGTAGCCGCCTCGATCTCCTCCATAGCCGCCTCGGTCTCCTCCATAGCCGCCTCGATCATAGCCACCTCCTCTGTCCCCACCATAACTACCCCCACTTCTATCTCCTCCATAGCCACCCCCACTTCTGTCTCCTCCATAGCCACCCCCACTTCTGTCTCCACCATAGCCACCACGGTCTCCACCTCTGCCCCCACGACCTCTATAGCCCCTCTCTCCACCGTAGCCTCTTCCCCGGAAATCTGTAAGGCAGAAATAAAAACCAGTGAGGTCAGCAAAATAATGTAAAGCTTCTTTAGTGCTAGTCAGAAGACAAACACCATGTAGATGCTAATAAGGCTGACCCAAAGAGCTAACCTACCTCCTCCTGAGGGACGAGAGTCCTCTGGTCTGGGCTCATTGCACTGATTGCAGGAGTTCCTTCGAGCAAAGTTCATATTTCCACATGACCTGAGGAGGAAGGAAAATAAAAGGCTCAATAGCTTCCAATGGATTCAGAACCCCCACTTGCAGCTTCCAACCTCAATCCCAACTTCTACTCCTACCAAAGTAAATGGAATACTTACGGATTAGGGCAAACCCAGTCCCCACTTTTGGGGTCTCCACCTCTCCCCTGAAAGCCTCCACGGCCTCTATATCCTCCACGGCCTGAGGAATATAGGGGAGGAAGAGAGAAAAATCAGCTGCAGACCTTAACTAAGCAGAGAAAAAGCACCAGATGAAAGAACTAATAGCAAGTGCCTACCATGAACTGGATAGCCCCCACACCTTTGTGGGAGGCCTCCATGATTCTTTAAATTGGGGCTTTATGTAGTAAGTGCAGGAAACGTGAGAAAGACCTCTTGCACACTTTATAGCAGTGATGGCGAACCTATGACATGTGTGTCAGAGGTGACACGCGAACTCATTTTTTTGGTTGATTTTTCTTTGTTAAATGGCATTTGAATATATAAAATAAATATCAAAAATATAAGTCTTTGTTTTACTATGGTTGCAAATATCAAAAAATTTCTATATGTGACACGGCACCAGAGTTAAGTTAGGGTTTTTCAAAATGCTGACACGCCGAGCTCAAAAGGTTCGCCATCACTGCTTTATAGTGTCAATAATGCACTTAAAAACTTTTCTATAATACCCTCCTTAGTTTGAGAATCTCAGTGAGAAAGGTTAAGTGAAAAGACATATTCCAAATTTAAGGAATTAGACCCAGCAGAAATAACAAGCTGGCAGTAACTGTATCAGGGATTTACAAACTGGTCAAATTAAGTACCTAATTAGTGTCATTTAAATGATTGCCTCCTGATTTCAGGGTGAATAACAAACTGCTATACAACTTTCCAAAGGGATATTTACAACCTTCTCCCACTATTCTCTTAGGTACTATATGACATCTTATTTACCTAATCTCCTATTTAGTATCCACTCTCACGTTAAAACAGAAGGAAAAAGACCAAGGGCGAGAAAGAGGTGTAGCAAGTTCTCAGAACAGGGACAGAACATACACTCAAATTCAAATCCTTTGTACAATATCCAGGCCAGTAAGCAACAAGTATCTTACCTCGCCGTCCACCTCCACTTCCACCTCCCCTCATAAATTCAGGTCTTCTGGTAGCAAAGGACACTTTAATGATGTTGCCATGAAATTCTTTCCCTAAGAAAGAAAATGGTTTTGAAGAAATGCTACTCTATATCTGCATTTCTCAACAACTGTAAACTATCTTGGGTAATTTCAATTTCAGAGGAATAAGTGACATGTCCTCACAGAAATTCAAATACACTAGTATTCCCAAACAATCAAGGTAACAGTGCTAAGACGTGACATATCTATTGAATAGAGCAGATCTGTCACTGGGAGAGTCATTTATTACTAAGCAAAAAAATAAAATAAAAATCTATTTTTACATGAGCATTGTGTAGTTTGCTATTTGTTTTTTAAAGGGAATGTGTGTGTGCGTACCCACACACGCATAAGTGTGCACATGTACTTATATATGTACACATATGCTTGTACATACACTGCCTATTTTACTTCAGTTTCAATAGGGGACAAGAGACCACTGATGGGGGAAGGGGTAGTCAAAGGTAGAAAGGAAACTCATTTTTTACTATATACTCTTGGTACTGTGACTTTTTTTTACCATATGCAAGTAATATCTTTAAAAATGTGTGCATATGTGATTACTTACATACATGCACTATACACAAATTCTGCTGCCCTAGGCCTTAAAGACAGAAATTAATATTTTTACTTTATATTAAATAAGAGAACTGACATGTAAAGAAAAGATGCCCAAGGATTCATAAAATGGCTTTAAATCCAAGAGCCTTGGCTCCCTGAACAAAGCCCTATTCAATTTTCCACAATGTCAGATGGCATGACATGCACTTTGACATAGGAAGCAATTCAAGGATCAGTATTTTTAAAGCTGTAAAAAGACCTGGTAAGAGATGAACTATAGAGTTACAATTTAAGAGGCTCATAGACCCTGTGGGCAAATGGCACAATAATTTTTAAACATATTGAGCAAAAGAAATTGCTTTATGATTCACAGAAACTATAAAAAAGCAGAAGTGAGGTAAAATGGACCCAGCCTTCAAGAGCAAGGTGTTGGGGGCCTGATGAATTAGTACAGAAACATAAAGAATATGGAGGTAAGAAGACATAGGGTATCACAATCTCATCTTGAAAGAAGTAAAATTATGTTTTGAAAAACACAGGTGAATCTATAACAACATGAGGAAATGACTATGTTAAAATGTTAAGTGAAGCCGAAACTGGTTTGGCTCAGTGGATAGAGCGTCGGCCTGCGGACTGAAAGGTCCCAGGTTCGATTCCGGTCAAGGGCATGTACCTGGGTTGCGGGCACATCCCCAGTAGGAGATGTGCAGGAGGCAGCTGATCGATGTTTCTCTCTCATCGATGTTTCTAACTCTCTATCCCTCTCACTTCCTCTCTGTAAAAAATCAATAAAATATATTTAAAAAAAAAATGTTAAGTGAAAAAAACATGAAGTCCGAGTAGAGCAGGCGCACTGAGTGGTTGTGTGGTGGCATCTTGGAGATCAGAGCGCTTGCAGCATGGCTGACCAATTGACTGAGGAGCAGATTGCAGAATTCAAAGAAGCTTTTTCACTATTTGACACAATGTGATTGAACTATAATAAAGAAATTGGGAACTGTAATGAGGCCTCTTGGGCAGAATCTCACAAAAGCAGAGTTACAGGACATGATTAATGAAGTGGATGCTGATGGTAATGGCACAACTGACTTCCCAGAATTTCTGACAATGATGGCAAGAAAAATGAAAGACACAGACAGTGAAGATTAGAGAAGAGTTCCATGTGTTTGATAAAGATGACAATGGCTGTATTAGCAGCAGAGCTTTGTCATGTGATGACAAACCTTGGAGAGAAGTTAGCAGTTAAAGTTGATGAATTGATCAGGGGAGCAGCGATTGATAGTGATGGTCAAGTAAACTATAAGTTTGTACAAATGATGACAGCAGAGTGAAGGCATTATACAGAACGTGTTGAATTTCTTGTACAAAACTATTTATTTGCCTTTTCTTGTAACTAATCTGTAAAAGGTTTCCCCTACTGTCAAAAAAATATGCATGGCCGAAACCAGTTTGGCTCAGTGGATAGAGCGTCGGCCTGCGGACTGAAAGGTCCCGGGTTCGATTCCGGTCAAGGGCATGTACCTGGGTTGCGGGCACATCCCCAATGGGAGATGTGCAGGAGGCAGCTGATCGATGTTTCTCTCTCATCGATGTTTCTGACTCTCTATCTCTCTCCCTTCCTCTCTGTAAAAAATCAATAAAATATATTTTAAAAAAAAAATATGCATGTATAGTAATTAGGACTTCATTCCTCCATGTTTTCTTCCCTTATTTTACTATCACTGTCCTGAAACCTTATTTTAGAAAACTGATTAAAGGGCTTACTCTGGATATATCTAAGTCCTTCTGCACATCTAAACTTAGATGGAGTTGATCAAATGAGGGGATCTGGGTTATGCCTTTTTTTTTTAATGTATTTTTATTGATTTCAGAGAGGAAGGGAAAGGGAGAGGGACATAGAAACATCGATGATGAGAGAGAATCATTGATTGGCTGCCTCCTGTACACCCCCTAGTGGGGGTCAGGGAGGTCGGGAGTGGGGAGGATCGAGCCTGCAACCCGGGCACGTGCCCTTGACTGGAATCGAACCCAGGACCCTACAGTCCCCAGGCCAACAACACTCTATCCACTGAGCCAAACCAACTAGGGTGTTATGCCTTTTTTTTTTTTTTTAATATATTTTATTGATTTTTTACAGAGAGGAAGGGACAGGGATAGAGAGTTAGAAACATCGATGAGAGAGAAACATCGATCAGCTGCCTCCTGCACACTCCCCACTGGGTATGTGCCCGCAACCAAGGTACATGCCCTTGACAGGAATCGAACCCGGGACCCTTGAGTATGCAGGCCAACACTCTATCCACTGAGCCAAACCGGTCAGGGCGTTATGCCTTTTTTAAAGTAGTTTTCTTTAGGAACTGTCAGCACGTTGTTGAAGCATGGAGTTACAACTCTGTGTGGACTATGGACAGTCAACAATATGTACCTAAAAGTTGCACAACTGAAAAACAGGTGTATTATCCAGGTACTCAGACACTATTTTTTTGCACTGCTAATCCTGTACCAGAAACATTTTTCTTTTTTTTAATATATTTTATTGATTTTTTTATAGAGAGGAAAGGAAAGGAATAGAGAGTTAGAAACATCGGTGAGAGAGAAACATCGATCAGCCACCTCCTGCACACCCCCCACTGGAGATGTGCCTGCAACCAAGGTACATGCCCTTGACCGGAATCAAACCTGGGACCCTTCAGTCCGCAGGCCAACGCTCTATCCACTGAGCCAAACCGGTTAGGGCCAGAAACACTTTCTTTCATTGTTACTTGCTTTTTAAACTTTGTTTAGCCACTTAAAATCTGTTTATGGCACAATTTGCCTCTAATCCATTCCAATTTGTATATTTGTTTTCCAATTACAAAACTTTACATGCCCCCCCCACCACAAAAGAACATGAGACAAAATTACATGTGTAATATAATGATAAACTATTTTTAGCCGAAACCGGTTTGGCTCAGTGGATAGAGCGTCGGCCTGCGGACTGAAAGGTCCCGGGTTCGATTCCAGTCAAGGGCATGTACCTGGGTTGCGGGCACATCCCCAGTAGATGTGCAGGAGGCAGCTGATCGATGTTTCTCTCTCATCGATGTTTCTCACTCTCTATCCCTCTCCCTTCCTCTCTGTAAAAAATCAATAAAATATATTTTAAAAAAAACAAACAGAAAAAAAAAACTATTTTTAAACTACATTTTAAAAAACTGGAAAGTTAGTAAGAAATATTATTAGCAGTTATCAGAACTATGGTTGCTTTCTTCTACTTTCCATAGTTTATTTTCAGTGGGAAAAAGTCTTATTATTCCTTCTAAGTATGCATTAATTAACCTTGTATTTGAAAGAAAATTAATCTAAATTTTAAAAGAATGTAAGGTCAACCAGGCCAACCCTCTACATCTATAACAGGGTGGCCTCAAAGCTTAAGGCATGATATAAGGAAATATATCATAGATATATTTCTAGAATATAGAATCTAGACAAAAACAAGGAGAAAGCTCATCTCATTTCTAAGGATATGTAAAATATCTGGCCTGTATTCTTAATAAATAAAATTAGCTATAAAAGTAAACAGGAAGCCCTGGCCGGTTTGGCTCAGTGGATAGAGCATCAGCCTGTCGACTGAAGCATCCGAGGTTCGATTCTGGTCAATGGCACATGCCCAGGTTGCAGGCTTGATTCCCAGTAGGGAGCGTGCAGGAGGCAGCCGATCAATGATTCACTCATCATTGATGTGTCTATCTCTCTCTCCCTCTCCCTTCCTCTCTGAAATCAGTAAAAATCTATTAAAAGCCCTAACCGGTTTGGCTCAGTGGATAGAGCGTCAGCCTGTGGACTGAAGGGTCCCAGGTTCGATTCTGGTCAAGGGCATGTACCTTGGTTGCGGGCACATACCCAGTGGGGAGTGTGCAGGAGGCAGCTGATCGATGTTTCTCTCTCATTGATGGTTCTAACTATATATATATTAAAAAAAAAAAAAAGTAAACAGGAAAGTAACCACTGTCTACCAGAACATATTTTGACTTCAACACTAGGAAACATTTATCCAAACAGCATGTTGAAATTATATGAATGAGGTATACCATCAAACCAGTCAATGGCTGCCTTAGCTGAAGGAGGGTCATCAAATGACACTGTCGCCTCCCCTTTTGGCTTCCCTGTGTCCTTGTCTGTATACAGATTTATCATTGGTTTTCCAGTCTTCTTATTGGTCTGAGGAACAAACAAGTTGGTGTTAGTATTTTAAGAAAAAGTGATCAGGAACCATATAATTTATTATTTTTAAGGAATTCATACACCTCACTCTTTAGATTCAGAAATAAGACTAAAGCTCACAAAATACTATGTATCTTTTATAAAAATGAAGTTATCTCTACTTGTAAAAAAGATAATACTCTAACACACATTAAGTGAAAACCAAACTAAAAATAATACATAGTATACTGTTTTATCTATGTATAATTTCTTTAACCCCCCCACCCCCAAAAAAGTAATTATTGCTTCATATAAATGTATACCTTGTAAAACAAATTAGAAAGACCAGGAATAATGTTCACTAAGCAAATCAATACATTACCACTAAGATTACAAACCAGATTTAGCTAGGATGGGAGTGGAAGACAAAGGAGAATTTTCACTTAACCAGAATTGTGAATTTTTTACATATTTCATGTGTAATTAATTTCTTCAGAAGTTTTAACTTCCAAAGAGGGAAAAATAATAAGTTATCCCACAGACAGCAAAACAAGACAACTAAATTACCAACTGATTTCAAGCAAATGCTACAATTTACTAACACTGCTCTAACAGATGCTTTCTAGCTGAGAGATGAAAATATTTGCATGAAACAAATAGCATACAACTGAAGTAAACAATAAACAATAAAGTTATAAAATAAAGCATTATATATTGGGCTACTATATATCACAGACATGAAATATCAAAGTAAAAATGTTTTATAGCCCTGACCGGTTTGGCTCAGTGGATAGAGCGTCGGCCTGCGGACTGAAAGGTCCCAGGTTCGATTCCGGTCAAGGGCATGTACCTTGGTTGCGGGCATATCCCCAGTGGGAGATGTGCAGGAGGCAGCTGATCGATGTTTCTCTCTCATCGATGTTTCTAACTCTCTCTCTCTCTCCCTTCCTCTCTGTGAAAAATCAATAAAACATATAAAAAAAATGTTTTATAACAACTTGAGTTTGCATTTATTTGTATTTCAGAATCTATAAAATGTTCTCACAATCTCATTTGGTTCTCACAATTTTAGGTGCTAGTCAGACTTTCTATTTTATTTTTTATTTTACTTTTTTAAAATATGCTTTTATTGATTTTAGAGAGAAAGGGGGAGAGAAGAATAGAGAGATAGAAACAATGATGAGAGAGGAACATCATCAATCTGCTGCCTCCTGAATGCCCCCTACTGGGATCAAGCCCACAACCTGGGCATGTGCTCTGACAGGGAATCACACCAGTGATCTCTTGATGGGTGGGTCGATGCTCACCACTCAGGCACACCTGCTGGGCCAGAGACTATTTTTAGAGCCCTATTATTAAAAGCTAAAGCTGTGAAAGGCCGTGGAAAGGTAAACACAAGCAAGAAATAAAATCTTCATGTATTTAGCAAATGCCTGCAGACAACGGTGAGCACGTACATCAATGAATTCTAAGAGACAAGGCTAGCCCTGGCCCTGGCCCTGGGTGGGTAGCTCAATCTCAACTGGTTAGAGCGTCGTCCGATACACCAAGGTTTCAGGTTCAATCGCTAGTTGGAGCACATACAAGAATCAACCAGTATTATCATAAATAAATGGAACAACAAAGCGATGTTTCTCTCCCTCTCTCTCTAAATTCACTAAATAAAAATTTTATTTAAAAAAAGAGCCAAGCCTTACCAGAGTATAGGCTTATTATGTAATCTATGTATCTTAACCAGAATATGTTAATGACTGTGAGATTTTTAACATAAGCCATACTTCTCACTCACCTTGATAATTCCTATCTGTTTAAAGAACTCCCCCACTTGATCTGTAGACACACCCTCCCCAAGTCCTTGCACAAAGATTGTGTTGTTATCTGAATTATCAGATTCTGAATCTAAGAGAAAAAAAATTATGGTTAATTTTACATAGTCCTTGGTTTTACTACATCCTGCTTAGTAGTCAAGAACAATAATTTATTGTCCAATATTCAACTGTTTCTATGACCAAAAGGAGAAAGGATCAATGTAAGAAAAATCTGATGTAAAACATACAAAGTGGTCACAATCATTATTTGGCCAAATCTTACAACTAAACTTAAGGTAAAGTGGATCAAGTCCACACTATGTAAAATACATAACACCAATTAAGAGAGATCTTACAAATCTGACTTTTTAGGTTCGGATACAGGACTAAATAAAGCTCATGAAGAGATGAAGAAAATTTATAAATTTACACTCCTTTCTTTGAAGAGCTTTACTTCGTTATGGCTAATCAATACTTTTAAGGATCTCTAGTAGAAAAGTCCCCAAATCTAGCACTTTGGACTTCCAAGCAAGCTAGGCAGAATTGGTGGTTTCCCCATCCACTGCAAAAAGCTTTGTATATACCAGAGGGTAGGGGCACCTTGACACACACCTTACCTTACACGCACACTTTTGGATTAGTACAACAAAGTAAGAAAGATGTAAAAAATTCAGTCCATCAAGGGATAATTCAGAAATTGCAATCCATATAGAATACTTTGGCATCTTAATAAAAACAAAAGTTCTGATTTCAATATATATTAAAATTTTTTGTCTCAAAGATTTTAAATCTCTAAATCGTAACTTTCAGCCCTGGCCAGGTAGCTCGGTTGGTTAGAGCATCATCCCAATATGCCAGGGTATAGGTTTAATCCCTGGTCGGGGCACATACAGAAACAACAAATGAATGCATAAATAAGTGGAACAACAAATCAATGTTTCTCTCTCTCTCTAAAAATCAATCAATGAATATAATTTAAATCATAACTTTCAAAAGGCTCCATGTAGCCTTGAATTTCATTTAAAAATAAAAAGCCACATGAAATTAGTGACTCGTGCCCAGAAGACAATTCTCTCATGTATGAATTCAGGTTTCTTAGGCCCACTAAGGAGACTACCAATCCAATGTTATAGTTTCATAAGCAAAGCTTTTCTACTTCTAATGATACCAATTCTCTCAAATCTGATTTGTAGTGATTAAAAAAAAGAATGGGGGAACATTTAGCAGTACAAAATCAAATATTTTTTCACAAAAGAAAAAGCAAAACATGGGAAAGCATAAACACAATTTTTTGCAGCAAACTTTCCAATCAATCTCCCTAAATTTTTCTTTCTGGTATGTCTTTAGAAGTAAAGCTCCCCAGTTCTGGCAGCACTATCAAATTAAATCTTTCTCCTGCACTAAGTCCTCCAAACACACCTTTCCCTTGAATAAAGTGGAAAATTAACATTCTTTTAAAGGCAAAGTTATAAACTACCATAAACCTTACCAGCATCTGGCCTGGGTCCATAATCCCTGTGACCTAAGAAAAAGAAAAGAAAAAGAAAAGAAAAGCTATTTAAGACAACTCATTAGAAACTATTATAAAACAGAAATAATAAGAAAAGTAAATACTTCCAAAATCCTTGAAACAAGTCAACCATCACAGATTTACAAAGTAAATATATAAGTTTTATTAAAAGTTTAAGAAATCAAGATGAATGTCAATATGTCCCAAACAATACCTGCAACTTTTGCATTATGCTAATATCACTTTTATTAAGCTCTGGTTGTGAAGGCTGATTAGAAAACCCTAGTAATTTAAAAACACCATGTCAGCTACCTTTATTTAAAAAATGTAAGTTCAAAATCCAGTGAAGGTCTTATTCATTGGTCACCACAGACTCTTTCATGCAAATTCACTGTGTAGAAATCCATTGGACTGAGATCAACTTTGGCTTTTTAATGTTTTCTTTGATATATATACATGTATATATAGAGAATCTATTTTTTTAAAGCACACAACACACACCAGCCTCAACCGAGTAAGAAAGGGCTTAGACTGCATCTGTGAGATATTGGTGGCTTTTAGATTTATATAGCATTTCCACTGAAACATTTTGGGATACTCAGCACTTACCACCAAAATTTTTGAAGCCACCGCGGTCACCACCACTGCAGAGGAAAAATTGAAGAAATGATTTCTTCCTTAAGTCTCTAATGTGCTGAGCCCTGGGCTCAATCTACACTTAACTGTCACAAGTAGAGCACCTAGGAAAACAGTAGCATCTCTAACTTTCCAGTAAATTCCACTTCATAAACTTCAAAATGTTGTTTTTACCTAAGTGTTTTCCCAATGATCTATTTCCACAAGCGTGTCTTTTCAAGTGTATTACAGAACATATCTATAAAATACTTATTTAAAGTCTTCCCAACCCCAAGCCAAAGGGATACTATTCAAATCATAACTTAAAGCTGGAGGCACAGCATGAAGAATGCCAGAGAAACAATCTTTCCAAGGAGATACAAAATAGAACAACAACATAAAGCAAGGTTAAGATTTTGACAGAGTAGGAGAGATAAAAACTTTAGTATATTTTATTGTGATGCAAAATAGTAGGTTTTATGAGATGAAGAAAAAGGGGAAGGTAGTAATATTCTGAAAACTATGGATGGTGTCAGATGAATAAGAGATTTATCAGAATAATCGTTTAGTAAGTTATATAATGTCTAATCACTGAGTTGTACACCTGAAATTAATACTGTATATCAAGTTAATTGAAAAATAAAAAATGATTTAAAAAATAAGTGAGGTATAAATATACATGAAAGTAAGCCTGAATGAAAGCAGTCTTAAAACTGCAAATCATTCTAAAAGGTGATAAAATGAGCACTAAAAAAGGCTTAACTTAAAATTGCCCACTTACTCCATACCCACTATAATGTACTAGGATCTCTTCACATCAGAACTACTGAGGTTCATGTTGTTAAATGTTCTGTACACTATTTGGTAGACTGTATCAGACAGAATGCAATACACTCTAATACTGCAACTTCCCACAAGAAAAGGACTTATTTGGCAAATTTCCACTGTCAGATAAGTCAATGGTCCTTGTGTGCACAACTTTATGTAAGAATCTAAGATCTATCTTATCAAGAAACCCTAAACACCCATACACTGAAAGCTTGTTTCTCTTGACTGAATTAAGTAATCCTCTAAGATTCAAGTGCTGAAATGGAAATTAAAACAAAGTTTTCAGATGGTGATACCTAACTTCTACTACTACTACTAATCTTCCACTGTAACCCAAGAAACTAATCCAATATACTAATGTCTCTTCACTGCTAAAAAAGCCTCTCTGGGGATAACCATGCCCTCTAGATGGCTTTTTTATGCCATCCAGAGAAAAACCACTCTGACTAAATTATGAGAAAGGTATTCTTCCTTTATCATTAATCTATTCTAACTTGATATAAAAAAATTACCTCTTGCAATCAGCTTAGATACATACATATTAATATGCTATTTATTCTATTTGATTTTCAGGAAGCCTAAAAGGAAAATAAGGCTATTTCAAGGCTATGTAGAAATATGAAGCTCAGGTCCTTCATATACATAGTTTCCTATTGAGTCTCCAAGACCTCTCTTTCAGAACAGTACCTAAGCCCTCGCTACACTTCTAAATAACCTGTATATCACTGCTTAACTTTTTTTTGTAATTGCCTGGTCAGAGTGGCTCAATTGATTGAGCGTAGTCCCTTGCACTTGAAGGTTGCCTGCTCGATTCCCAGTCAGGAAGCGATCGATTGCCTCCTATACACACCGGGGACTGAGCCCACAACCTGGGCATGTACCCTGACTGGGAATTAAACTGGTGACCATTCAGTGAACGGGAAGGCACTCAACCAACTGAGCCATATCAGCCAGGGCCACTGCTTAACACTTTAAGAAAGGGAAGCCAAAGAGTTTTAAACTGCTAAAAATCTTATTAGAAACCAAAATATCTCAGGTTTCTTCAAAGATGATCATTAGCATTCCAAAAAATGAAGAGAAAAGAATCAATGAAAATGTTTATTTTAGTTCATATTCCTATGTGAGGGAGTTAAAGTTCCAGGATAAAGTAGATTTTTTTAAATAGGCAATTTTCACAAGTAAATACTGAAAGAAATACCCTTAATTATTTTGCTGTCATCTTAACTGAGTACCAAATTGTTTATGTGGCCAAAAGATAACATGTAATTTCATATATCAGCTAATTCCTACAATTTATATTATGGCCAGCAATATAACTTTCAACAACTTTTTAAAAGGACATACCACTGCAAAATAAAAGGGATATAAAACAAATGACATTTGAATAGGTTTATAATTTCCTATTCCCTCATATAGTGAGTGGCATTTTAATGTAAGTCATCTTTACTGAGCATTTCCTTAGAAAATATAGCAGCTGAAGATTTCAACATATATCCATAAATACGGAAACAATTAGCGCATTTGCAAAAGTACTAGTCTTCAAACTAAGATTCAGGGTACAGTCTTTTTTTTTTTAAATGTTTTTATTGATTTAGAGAGAAAAGGGGGGAGGGAAAGAGATAGAAACATCAATAATGGGAGAGAAACATCAATCAGCTGCCTCCTGCACAATCCCTACTGGGATCAAACCGGGACATGTGCCCTGACAGGGCATCAAACCTGCTACCTCTTACTGCATGGGACGACACTCAACCAACTGAGCCACACCGGCCAGGGGATAGTCTTAACTATCACTAATCAATCTTGAAAATTTGGACAACACTAATTTTCCCTCGGCTTCAGAATCTTCCTTTACAAATAAGGGTCTCTATCCTAGCTACTCAAAGGGCCATCCATAGAACAACAGCATAAACTGAGCCTGCCTAAGTCTCGGAAGAGCATATCTTGGGCCTCACCCTAGACCTAATGATCAGAATCTGCATTTTAATAAGACCCCCAATAAATTAATACATACATTAAAGTTTGAGAAGCACTGGTTTAGATAATCTAAAAAAGTTTTCTTCCAACTTCAAATGTTTCAATGATTTTTCTCTTATTTGAAAATTCCATATTTGCTAGTTACATTATAATCTCTTATAAGAAATTTCTTATATTAAATACAGTAAATAAACCTCAAGCAGTACTCACTATTAAATATTTAACAGAAGATCGGCTTATGGTTAAGAATCTTTCTTTCAAACCTGCAGTAAAGTTACAAGTCCCTTTTCCATATAAGTTAAGGCCTCGCCAGCAAACTAAGACATAAACATATGTAAACATCTATGAATCAAGACTTTGCCACAACAAATTTGTTTTCCTCCCTGAAAAGGAAGCAAATTTGTGCACATAAAAAATTCCTAAAGAAAGAACATTTTAAGGTGAAGCAGTAGAGGTATTTATACTCAAAGTTACAGCTGAATGCCCCCTGCATGAGGAAACCAACTGAATACTTTTTTAAAAAAATATATTTGTATTGATCTCATAGAGGAAGGGAGAGGGAGAGAGATAGAAACATCAATGACGATGGGAATGAGCCTGCAACCCGGGCATGTGCCCTTACCGGGAATCAAACCATGACCTCAGGATTCATAGGTCGATGCTCAACCACTGAGCCAAGACGACCAGGCCAACTGAATACACGTGACTCAAATGCAGGAATGGTTGTCCCAAGTTTAAATCACAACGAGCAGCCTACCCTAAGGTAGAGCTTAGAAAAGATAGATTTAATTTCAGGTACTTATCAAGAAGAAAAAAGTTCTTTGACAGAATCTTTATTCCCAATCTTTAATTTAAAAATATCTAAATATATCTATTCAAGGGCCAAAACTGCCAAGAGTAAAAGAACAATGCAGGAATCTTTATTCCCAGAAAATTCAGTATCAAGAGAGAAAAAGGGATTTGGCTAAGACTGGAAAAAGATTAATTTAAAAACAAACAAACTATACTGTGCTTGAGTTTTCATACTAGTAAAGCCAAAATATAATATCTGAGCTACAAAGAACTCAAACATTAATTCCAAATATAAATGACTCAACGAATGTAAATAGCATTCTCAACAGTAGCCATATTTGTTTCATCTCCTCCCATGTTTTATATGTGTGTTTAAAAAAGCTTTCTAGCCCTAACCGGTTTGGCTCAGTGGATAGAGCATCGGCCTTCGGACTCAAGGATCCCTGATTCAATTCCGGTCAAGGGCATGTACCTTGGTTGTGGGCACATCCCCAGTGGGGAGTGTGCAGGAGGCAGCTGATCGATGTTTCTCTCTCATCAATGTTTCTAACTCTCTATCCCTCTCCCTTCCTCTCTGTAAAAAAAAAAATTTTTTTTTAAAAAGCTTTCTAGATTCAGCATTTATCAAGAATCTATATTGTAGAGTTGTACTGTCCAATACATTATTCCCTAGTCATACGTAGCTGTTGACCATTTGAAATGTGGGATAGTCTAAATTGAAAGGTAGTCTAAATGTAAAACACAAAATGGATTTCAAAGTCTTAGTATGCAAAAAAGAATATACACTATTTTTTATACTGATTAAATATTTTGGATACATTAAATAAAACTTATTATTAATTTCACCTTTTTTTGACTACTAGGAAATTTAAAATTACATATGTGGCTTACATTTGTGACACACATTATATTTCTATTGAGCAACATTGTTCACCAGAACATATGCACATTTTTAAGAGAGCTCACCACAAACTTTTGTAAGAAGACACTGAAAATTCAAAACAACTTATTTTAGGCCTCAGATATTAAAGCCTGAAACGGTTATTTTAACTTGATGACATACTAATGAAAAACTGTTATCTATAAAGTTCTGGCATTTTTGTAATGCATTCATCACAACCCTGAAGTTAAAAACAGAGAATTTATTGCCTTAAACTTCGAATCCACTAAGATGTCAGTGATCAATTTTAGATGACAATTATAAATTCAATCCTTTTTGCTGCAAACTGCTTTTTCAAAGCAAAATACTGTTTCCTATAATCTCTATAACTTTCACAATTTCTCTTGCATATATGGGAAACTGACAGTTTCCTTTTTGTCTGAATTCTTCCTCCAGTCAAGCAATCATACAACCTGAGTCTACGAGCGTCCCATCTTTTACCACATCCCACCCTCACCCGGTTCTTCAAATATAAACCCAACTAATGCAAGATATCCTTCACACAGCCCCAAAAGGATCATATTTTCAAGTTTGATATTTTTAAGTAAGATGAATAGAAACACAAATGCAAGCATTAATGAAGACTAACAACAAATGTTTAGGTATTTTGGTACTTACATGTAAAACCAAGTGTAAAAAAAATCCTAAAACTGAGCATTTTTATTTGATTTCAAAATACTCCTACAAATGAGCTTTGTTTTTAGCACATCTTTGAGCAAGATACTGTGACACAATGAAAGTATATGAACTTCAAATTTCAGTTTCCCATAAATGAAGTTTTATTGGAACACAATCATGTTTATTCATTTATATACTGTCTAAGGCTGCTTTGATGCTTCAAGGGTAGAGTTGAGTAACTGTAAGAGAAACCGTATGGCCTGCAAAATCTAAATTATTATGTGGCCTTTCACATAAAAAGTTTGCCAACCCAATACAGAGAATAATTATCACATTCCATATGGGTTTCTATTTATTGGCTGAAGGGTTGCCTCGAGTAGACAGATATTGGGCAAGATCCCTCCCCCATTCCTACTCTGACATGAACCAGATTGGCATTTTGACCTAATTAATATATAGTAGGCTCCTGCATAAGATTTCATTTAAAGAGGTTCTAAGACTAAATAAAAAGATATGAAAATCAAGAACATAATATCTGATTCAGCATATGGACTAAAACTTATACTGAAATACGTTGCCAAATAGGTTATAAAGTGTTTTAAAACGGGACTTCTGGGTTGGTTATGGTATGGATCTTCACTCCTTTATCAGGAGGATCATTCAAGGTCCTTTCAGCTCTGATTCTTAAATGAGTCCAAGATGAAATTATATAAAGACTTTTCTTCTATCGTTCAGACATAATTATAGCTTCCTTATGAAGAAAATTAAACCTGTGATGTACTATAAAATATAGAGCATTCCAAGGCAGACAATTATCCAAAACATATTAATTGGAAAATATGCCTACTGGTTATCTTGTTTGGAATTGTTTTAATTCTGTTTTTAAGGTAGGAGGGAGGCTATTAGGTAAGCACCTGTGTCACTTTACATTGTTCATTTATATACAAATGATGGCTGACTGCTCTCTTTGACAATGAAGAGGCATACAATATACTTGTTTTACCTTAGTAATTTGATCTTGGCTATCAATAAAAAGGCTTTTAATGTTCAAGTCTTATAAAAAGTTTATCAATTATGTTTAGATTCTTATTTTGTCAGTGAGATCAAATTCCTGGTTCACTTGAAGAAGTAACAATGCTATGCATAACTGGCTGTGTTTCTCAGGTCACTGCAGGGCAGACAACCGGCTCAGTCCCACAAGGACAAGAGTAAACTAGTACTGATACATTATTATTGTCGGTTAACAAGCCATTGACAATTTCAATCCCCAAGGAATATAAATTATCTTTTAAGCCTGTGTATTTTACACACAAATTTATAACCTACACACCTCATCTGAGGACAATAAACGACAACTACTTTTTCATTATTGTTTTTATGGTCAAAGTGCTAAATTTACAGATAACTTAAATGCAATTTTAAAACCAGCTTTCATAACATATGCCATAGTAAATATCAAGCCTGATAATACTGGCAATGGAGATAGAAAAGCTGATTTACAAAGTCATTCCTTTTCCACAGTTTTAATCTAGACAAAATACATAATGGTATATGATTTTGCACTTATTATTTCAATATTTATTTACTAAAGAAGAGGAACAAAATGGTTTGGTTACATTAAATCTCTCCTTACCAACCTCATTTTTATACTCTGCTATTGCCTCCTAATATTTTCCCTTCCCAAGGGGATTCAAGATTAAGGAAAAGCCTCTCTGCCCTCCAATATACAATTAACTTACCTTTATTTTTTTACAAACAAAATGCTTGCATTTCTCAGAGCCATCTTATAACATTTAGGTTCTAAAGCTCTGGCAGGAAAAACATAGTTAGGTCTCCATAGTAGGGGACTTTCATCCACTGGTGTTTAATATACACCATATAAACTAACTGCTAACATAAACCTATTCTAAGGTAATTTATGCAACATCTTAAGACTGAAAATAAATTTTGAATTTTTGCCCTCTTCTCTACAACATAACCTCCTTAAAGCCTCTTAATTACATTATATGCTGGAATTAAACCAGCTAAGTAACAACCAAAATTAAAATTAAAAAAGAAAGAGAAAAGAAATGTAGACATTTATACCTGAAAACTTACCTTGATCCTGTCATAGGACCTCTTCCATCCTTGTCATATCCCCCACGCCCTCTACCTCCTCCCTGTGACCCGCCATATCCTCTATTATCTTCTCCATACCTACTCACATCACGACGGTCATCTATAAAAAAGAAAATATGTACATAAATAAATAACTATTCTGATTTCTGACACAGACTTCCCACAACAATCTTAAATGGCTCTTTAGGTCACACTATATGTCCTTTGGAAAATGGCATATGTGCACAGAACTCAAATGCAAGTCATCATAAAACCATCTGGAATTAAATGTGTTCAGGAATTATATTTGTGTCAAACAGTTAAAGTCAGACAGCAAAATGGTGATGGTGATGTAGAATAGTTTGAGTTAAAGTACAACATTAGGTACAAAACCCTAATAAATTAGATGAAAAGCATAACCCAAATCTGAAAAGTTATTACTTTCTTCACCTCAAAAATACTTAAATGCAAATTAAGCATGGACAAGAAATAACTGGATTTTCAAACTGAGGGATATTCAGTGCACACATTCACTGAAAAAGATATTCAATGCATATGTTCACTGAAAAAGATATTCAGTGTGCCCAGCCAGTGTGGCTCAGTGATTGAGCGTCAACCCATGCACCAAGAGGTTGCTGGTTCGACTCCCAGTCAGGGCACATGTCCAGGTTGCGGGCTGGATCCCCAGTGTGTACATAGCATGCAGAAGGCAGCCAATGGATGTTTCTTTCACATCCACGTTTCTATCTCTCTCTCTCCCTATCCCTTCCTCTCTCTCTAAAGATCAATTTAAAAAATATTTTAAAAGTTTAACTCTCCACGTATAAATTAAAACTGAACTTTTGCCTTTTCTTGGCAAGGACAGATTCCTAGCTATCAGTTGTATATATAATGTGCTATCAGAAAACAAGAAGAAGGAATGACTGGTCCTTTTAATATGAGGTCAGAGAAAGCTAATATAGAATCATAATTTCCCCAAATCAAGTATACTACCACTTCCAAAAGAACTGATAACAGCAGCATTTGCCAAATGATCAAAGTTGTCTGAGACAAAAAGGAAATTAATGTATCAGCAATCCAAAAGTCATGTGACCATTTGGGAATCTCCAAGCAGCTCAGAAATAGGAATCTAAACTAATTTTGATAGCCATGAGAGAGAACATATGGTCACAGTCACTCCAAATTTTTACAGTTGAAATCCTATTTGGGTTTTGTGGGTGTGGTTTTTTTTTTTTAAAATCCTCACCTGAGGACATGCTTACTGATGAGAGAGAGAGAGAGAGATTGATTGATTGAGACATCAACATGATAGAGAAACATCGATTGGTTGCCTTCCATACAAAACCCAACTGGGAAATGAATCTACAACCCAGGTATGTGCCCTGACCCGGAATTGAACCTAACAACCATTTGGTGTATGGGACGATGCTCCAACCAACTGAGCCACACTGACTAGGGCTCCTATTTGGGTCTTTTAATCCAAAACTCAATATGTAAGTAATTCTGTAAGTAAAGAAAAAAAATAAGAGGTTAGTATATCTTACCTTGTGTGTGGTGGCTGTAATTTTCCCTTTGTGAATGGTAGGACTGCTGGTTTTGATTATAGGAATCATGCTGCTGGTCATAATTTGACTGCTCATCATATGAACCTTGATGATGATCATAGCCTGACTGCTGGCCATACGAATCTTGTTGACCATAGTTTGACTGGTCATATGAAGGCGCTCTTCCACTTTGGCTAAACAGAAATCAAGAACTTGAGTTTTTATAGAAGGATTATGCTTACTGTAGCAAGTCGACTGAGACTGACATAAAAGGCCTGACTAGCTAGACCTGACCCATATTTACTACTTTTCTGTGGTGGAAATCATTTAGTTCTTTTAACTATAAAGTCTCCTTTATCACCAATAGAATGACCTTCAAACAACAATTTAACTATCCTTGAAGAGGTGCCACATTATGAGAAAAACCATATGCACCTTTGAAAATAGTGAAGCAAAAAAATCAATATGATTTTTACATCTCCTTAAATTAAAAAATTAAAGGTGCCACAAAGTACAGTAATGTCAATTCTTTAACACACATGCCACAAGTACTGAGTCCTTTTAATAATTACACTGAAAGGCTCTATATCACCTAATTTTAATCTCATAATGGTTTTTTTAATGTAAAATATCTTTTTAAAAAATATATATTTTATTGATTTTTTACAGAGAGGAAGGGAGAGGAATAGAGAGTTAGAAACA